AACTGTGAGCTTTTCTTCTCTCAATGGTCATTTCTTTGGTACTATGATGGTTGGGTCCAGTAGAAGAGACAAAGATGTAATTGTTTTGGATATAAAAATCATAAGATGAATTTTCTCGCTTAATCCAAAATGAGATAATGCTAATCTATAGTTGTGACGTCAAACTTTATCACGTAAGATAATCATTTTAATATTACAAGATTTGATTATTTAGCAACTAGGATGATGATCCTTAAATGGTAGCCAATAAGCTGTGGTTTAGGTCTCGTTTTAATATGACAATTCAACACCCTTTAAATCGCTTTCAAGTGTGATCTTGTTTTGCTTTAATTTTTGGGAAAATTACCAGAACAACCTGAAAAATGGCATAATTATTAAAACAACTTTTTAACAAGCTTGAAATTTAACAAAAGTCATAAAAGATATATAAACCTTAGTAACAAGTTTTTCTTACGAAAATACCATTCTAATTATTAAAACAAAAAAAAATCAAAAATTTGTTTGAAACCGCGGACGTGGAGGCTGCGGAAGCACCGAAGACAAGCTTGGCGGAGCGTGCCGCCGGATTTATATAAAATCGGATTGAAAATCACAAGAAAAAAAAAACTTGAAATCTTTTGATTTTTAGTTAGAAAAGAGATATATGATGTTAGATCTACAAGTTTTAGGCTAAATCCAGTTGAAAACAAGTTAAAACACAGTAAAAACGAGCTAAAAAATAGTTGGCCGCCATTGTTAGGGTTTGACAAAAGCTTGGTTGTGGAGAAGATGGCCGGTAAATTACGATTTTACTCTTTATTTAATAACTCTACCACTACTATAAATAAGTCTACTACATATTTATAAATCTAYCACTACTACAAATAARTYTACRTATTATAAAYYTACCAYTACYACGWGTATAAATATATMTACCACATATTATAAATCTACAACTACTATAAATAAATCTACCACTACTATAAATAAGTCTACCAACTAAAAGTTGTTTAGTAAAGACGTGAAACGATCGAATAAATCTACCACTACAATAAATAAATAAATTTACCACATATTATAACTCTACCACTAGGATAAATAAATCTACGATTGCGCGAACCATCAATAAGTCTACCGATCACAAAATAACTCCACCCACTACTAGAAATAAGTCTACCGATCACAAAATTAAATCTACCACTACTACAAATAAGTCTACCACATAATATAAATCTATTACTACTATAAATAAGTTTACGATTGCGCGAACCATCAATAAGTCTACCGATCACAAAATTAACTCTACCACTACTACTAATAAGTCTATCAGTGAAAAATAAATCTATCACTACTATAAATAAATCTACGACTGTGGGAACCATCAATAAGTATACCAATCACAAAATTAACTCTACCACTACTAGAAATAAGTCTACCGATCACAAAATTAAATCTACCACTACTACAAATAAGTCTACCACATAATATAAATCTATTACTACTATAAATAAGTTTACGATTGCGAACCATCAATAAGTCTACGATTGCGAACCATCAATAAGTCTACCAACCACTTAATAAATCTACCAATCGCAAATAAATCTACCATCACATGAACGGTAGACTTATTCGCTTTTGGCGRGAAAATTTTGCTGCCTCATTAATGRCAGKTTCGTAAATACGTTTTTTGTCTTCAAAGAAAATAAGGCTAAAACGGGTATAATAAATCTTTGAAGGTTATTTAAATAATTATGAAAGATTAGCATCATTTTGATAAAAGAAAACTATTTTTCAAGATTGTTTTAGTAAACCTCCCTTAATTTATACCAACTTTTCTGTTTGTTTTTTAACGTTTAAGTGGTAATAGTAATTGTTTATTGTTAAACAAAAGTAATCGATCAAATAGACAAAATTAAAATTATTAGGTATATGACTCAAGTGTGGTCTTATTAGTAATTAATTCTTTGTTTGCTTTTTACACATACACAACAAAACAAAAGATAATGATGATCAGTTTTAATTAATTTTGGCAAATGAAGATACAAACTCAAAAAAGTAGAAGCCAACCCAAACATATTTTTTGTAAAAGCTATATATTATCTCAATTTTACACTACTTTGTAAAATGTTTAACAAAATGATACATTTTTATTTTTCTTTTATCACGAAACAAAATGATACTAAAATATAAATAGAAAAGATATATTTTAACAATTTGAAGAGTTGGAAACCCTAATTCTAGGTGGATTTAGGTCACCAACGCTGGCAATTTCCACAACGCCAAAGTTGGGTCCTCTTTGTCTCTTTCTTTTTATTTGAAGGTTTTTAATCGGTTTAGATCTCCGTTTTAGAATTCAATTTTTGCTCAACTGTGGTTTAAAGATCCAGCTTTTTCTGCGATAAAAAAGGTTTGTGATTATCTCTTTTGACGAGTAGTTGGTGGTTTTTTGGCGTTCCATCTCTATTTCATTAAGTGTGTAGTGAATCGGTGTTGGGGGCCTAATTTTTAGATTACCTCTCTATTAGACCCATGTCCTAGATCAAATCTTGACTTTTTCTACCGATTTCAGGTCACATGTTTCGACCTTATCAAGTTAGGTTCTTCCGTCTAGCCGTCCAAAAGATACCAAAGTATTAGCTTTCGAAATCGTCACATTAACAAGTGAGGCATGAATATGGCTGAAGTGAGGACTGAAGTTAGGTTTTTCTACGATAATTTTTGAAGTCGTACCATTACCAAGTGAGGACTGAAGTCGAGAGAAGTTTGTGTCTTTGTACCTCTAAGCTTCTGGTCTTGGAGACGCTAAAAAAGGTGAAGTTGAAAGGACTAGCAAGAAAGGTTGGGATGGTGGGTTGGAGAAAAGAGAGAAATGTGAGTAATTGTTTGGGTGGATGGGGTTAAAAAAGCGATGAATAGTACTCGAAAGCGTCAAAAAAACTAGTTGTTATAAAGTGCCAGAATTCTAAGCTATCCACGAAAAATGCTACTTTTCCCAATTCTCCCATTTGTAATTGTTTTCGTGTTTTTTTTTTTGTTTATCGGATATGGTTTTTCAGTCATCTATTGGTGTGTGTTCTTGTTTTTTTTTTTTTTATTATTCGAATAAAATTCCAACGTAATAAAAAAAATTTGAAGAGTCAAACTTGGCATAAAAATGTGATCTCAAAACCATAAATAATTTTTACTTTATTTTTACGTGTGATTTAAGTAAAAAAACCGACAAATATGTTGCTTATAATAATCGTGTTTTTTTGCGTTCAAGAGACCGTTCTCGTGTTTTTAAGATGATTTAGGCGATTATCAGTTCTCGTGTGAAGAAAAAAACATCTTAAGTGATTATAAATTTATTGTGACTTTGACTGTTGTTACAAATTTTGCCGTTTGAAAGAATATTGTTGGGAAAGTCACCAGGTAAATGCACAAGAAGAAATAGGCTATTGTTATAAGAAAATGGGTCTGATATGAATGTTTCTCATATAGCCCAGTCAAGTTAATGACAAACAACTTTATCAATATCTCGAAGAAAGTTTTCATCGTAGGTGTTAAACATTGCCTTATGTACCTAGGCCTAACGAGAAACCTAGCCATAGGAGGTAATCTGGTGGTCGTCATCATAAAATATGTGAATAACGATAGGAATATAATAACTTTATTGTGCATTTGGAAATGTTCAGAAGTTAAGATTAAGATGCTTCCCACGAGATATGAATTCTAATCAATACAGGGTAATTAGGTGGCCGTGGGAAGCATCTTATAATCTTAACTTTTGAAAATGTTAAATATTTTTTAAGTTTCAATGAAACTACCCTAAGTAAATCGATGTGTCACCTAGTGGTTTATGCTCGTTGATGTCACAATCAACCGGATTCAAAACCCTCATATTGCATGTTGTTAATAAAAATAAAATATCCCTAAGTCTGAGTTGATCTCATGATGTAACAAACAAATAATACATAAAATTTGTTAAAAAGGAAAAACCTTGCAATAAATCTGATAATTGACTAAACAAAAAGAGACTAGGTGCTTGTACAGATACAGAATAAATTTTCTATGCAGTTTGTGCATGTGTATGTTAGTATGTGGAATTGATGGTGTTAAATAGTTGTTGAATCTGTGTTAACATTATATCGTACGAAAAGCTAGGAACACCCTCACAATGAGTAAGCGGAAATTTTGAGAAAACGTTTTAATCAATCTCATTAAAGATTCAAGTTAAAACACAAGTACCGAGATATGACTTCTGAAAACTTATCTTTGTTATCCAAAATGTGACCAAACTCTTTCAATTTGGGATAAAATATTTTCCCATTTTTTTCTTTCTTTTTCTTTTGCCATCCTGATTGGTTTCAAGGATGAAGTTAGTGTTCGCATATCAGTTACAAACGGTGGTTGCTAGCCTACATACAACCACCAATCATCTCCAGAAGCAAACTTCTTCAAGGTAGTGCAGAGCTAGCTGATCTATTATTGTTATCAGCTCATGGATTGCTTGAACTTGATTCGAGATCATCTGCTTTCGGCTCAAACGACATGTTTTGGACTCTGCTTGTCATTTCACATTCCGGGCTTGGATAAAAAGGAGTCCGCAAGTCTATATGCATTAAAAACTTTCTCCATTTATACCGTTTCCTTATCTCGTAACCCTACAAACAAACACAAAACAAGCTCTTAATAGGTATTCTCAATCCCTTAGGATATCTTCTGTTTGAACACAAGCACATGGATATTTGATAAGACAATTGGAAACAGTCAAAAGTCATTAAACCAAATGAAAATGGTACAAAGTAAATCGAAAAAGTTACCTTCAATTCAACAACATCTGAACCTTGAAGAGCATCCAATATAAGCTCGATATTACTTGTCAATGCTTTGAGCTGAAAAGGATAAACGAAACAACAAAATGTTAAATAAACTAAAATAAGAGAAGTCACATACGTGGTATAACGAACAAAGAAAGATATATGAAACCATCATGCAAGAAAAACAAAGCTAGGTAACAAATTCACCTTTTTGAAACCCGCAATAAATTGTATATTAACAAAGCCTTCATCATTCATCCGCTTACGCAGGAACTCGTCATGACGTAAATTCTCCTCACTATAACATAAGCAAAGAAGAACATTTAAAACTAAAGTTATTTTGAGAGGACATATTGCGCAGTGGTAAGCAGAAGAAGATATTTACCTAAAGTAATAATGAACCTGATTCCGTATCTTGGTTTCTAAGGAAGAATCTTGAAATTGGCTGGCTTTTGAGGAAGAATTTTGAACCAAAAAGACGTAAGGAGGAGATTCGATGAAAGGCATGTGATGAGGATGATACATCGGCAATGAAGCCCATTCTAAAAGATGAAACATATGCATTAGAAAAAAACTCGTAAGAGTAAAAAAAAAAAAAAACTTCATACTTCCAATGTGAGTTAACTCACCAGGGAATACCATAGGACCGCTAAACGGATAAAAGTGTGGCGGCATTGGTGGTGGTGGTGCATGTTGTACAAATCCCGGTATACCTAGTGGTGGTTGTGCAAATCCGCTTCTTGGAGGTTGTGCAAATCCTACTTGACCATTAAAGTTTCTGTGGAGATTCCAATTATGATTGCCATGTTCCTGATTGCGACTTTGACTAGGATGGTGATTACCAGTTTGGTTCTTGTATGAGTTCCGTTGATATTGGTTTTGGGTACTACCATGAGACTGTGATGCAAACTCAAAGACATAGAAGCTACATTACTAAATCACAACATTTAAAAACATCCAGTAGAAAAAAAAACAGAGAAATAAACTTGACAACATAACTAAACTAAGAAACAGAGAAATAAATCTGACAATTCAAGAACTAAATTTTTCAAACCTAATTAAAACATCATCATGAAGTTGCATCAAATCTCATGAATTCCATTAAATTCAAACCTGAGAAACAGGAACAGATGATGATGATGATCCATCGCCAAGACTTTTCAATGAATCAGAAGAAGAAGCTTTCTTCGTCTCCGAAAACAATGGCCAAGACGAAGCTCCAATGACTGGTCTGATCTCAGTATCGCCATTACAAGACCTGTTCTAAACCGGTTTCTTCTCTGCATTACCCTGAATCAAACCAGAGTTGTCTGATTTCTCTTTCTCCATGATCGTACGTGAAGCAGACGAAATCAGAGTTCTTGAGCAAAATTCAGAGGAGGAACAACAACAAAAAACAAGAATTAGGGTTTGTTCTTACTAAACTCTCTGATTAGCAGTCATATCTTAATAAAACCATTTACGATCAAAATACTAAAAACAAAACAAAAATATATATATAAGCTGAGAAAACTAAGAAATTGAGGAAAATCTGAATGAGTTTCTGAGAAATTAAAGGTTAAGGTAAGTAGTGGGAAAAAAAAAAAACTAACAAATTTTCCAAGAAGATGGAAACGGAGACGAAGGAGAGAAGAGGCTCTTGTTTTGATCTTCTTTAGGTTTTTATTTTATTTCCTTTTTATTTATATATGTTTCTGATATAGTTGAGAGAAGAATTCTATTGTGGCTCGGCTGCCGCGAAAAATAGAAATTACAAAATTACCTTTAAAGGAAAAACATGTGTTTTTTCTGTTTGTTTTGGTTGTGTTTCTGAAATCTAGAGATCTGATTGGCTAATTATGTTTTCGGTGGATTCCTCTTTTCTGTTAAATTTACCATATTTCTTTTTTTATTTTCCCAAACTCATCCCAAATAATTATCTAGATAATTAATAAAATATATATATTAATCAGATAAATCATAAAAGGAAATCTGGTGTAAAATATTGTTGTTTACATATCTTTTATAAGATTCATGTATATATGCTTTCAAAATATTCAAAATAAAATATTTAATTTTAGCATGATGTTATATAACCATACCATAATTAAAATTTAAATTGGAAAATGCTTCAAATTGTT